CGGCCACTGCACTCCAGTCTGGGTGACAGAGTGAGATTCCAACTCAAAAAAAAAAAGAGAAAGAAATAGGACAAAAAATAAAAATATGCTGTAATGCATGTCTTTCAGCTATTCCTGCCTTGGAGACCTGGCTATCTGCTGAGGCCCCACCACTCACCTAGGGGCAGCAACCCTTGTGGTGGGCAAGATGATGCTTCCACAGAAGCAATTCTCAGCCTTGAAGATATGACTGTCCCCGTGGGTTGCAGTTATGAGATACATTATCAAATCTGTTCCTGGCTCTGGGGTGGGGTTACGGCCAGGATGCTGGCCATGAGTCCAGCACACAGGTGTCACCCATCATGAGTGTCTGGTGGAAAACTCAGTACTTCTGCTTCAGCAGCTTTGGACCCAAATGACATGGGAGCTGCAGGTCAGCTTTCTCCTGGCCTTCTGTTGTCCAGGACCCTTAAGTGGGACCAAAGCCCTGATAACAGCAGTTATCAGTTATTGGCCATCTGGGCTGTGTGGGTGGTGTGCAGACATTAAACTCATGGAAGCCTCTGAGTTGCCAGCACTAATTTACAGATAAGGAAATGGAGATTTAGAGGCAGGAAGTGACCGAATGCAAAGCCTGCACTCAGGCCCCACAAACTTCGACCTCCCGGGTATATTTTAACACTGGAGATGCATGATGAGGCTGGCCATGACAGGCCTCACTTCCTGGTCTTCAAGGACCCACAGCTTCCCTTCACCTGCCTGTCTAGCCTGATCCTGCTTTTCTTTCTTTTTCTTTTTTGAGTCAGAGTCTCACTCTGTTGCCCAGGCTGGAGTGCAGTGGCATGCTTGCAGCCACTCCAGCATGGACCTGCTGGGCTCAGGCGATCCTTCTGCTTCAGTCTTCCAAGTAGCTGGAACTACAGGCGCACACTACCACGCCTGGCTAATTTTTTGAAATACTGTAGAGACAAGGTCTCACCAAGTTACCCAGGCTGGTCGCGAACCCCTGGATTCAGGCAATCCTCTTGCCTCGGCCTCCCAAAGTGCTAGTATTACAGGCTTAGCCACCATGCCCGACCTGATCCTGCTTTTCAAGGTCCACCTCACCTGAGACCACCATGTGGCATATACTACGCCTAGAACACATTTTGCCCTCTAAAACAACTCCACCTCTGCCACTCTCCAAGTATCCCCTGAGAAGAGCAAGATGGCAGACACTGCTGGTGGCCTCCCCAGGTCTACCTTGTCTTCTTCCCAGCAAAACAGTTTTGTCTGGGCTGGCACGGGGGAAAACACTAACTGGTCCTGTGGCTAGAGTTAGGCATGCAACCCAGCTCTGGCCAGCAAGGTGTAGGCAGAATTTCCTGGGGAAGATGTTCCTTCTCAGAAAAGCATCCTCTACTGAGGGCTTTGGTCCTTTCTACCTTGTTCCTCCCCGGACTGCTGACCTGATGCCTGCAGGTGCAAGAGCCGTTTTGTGTGGCAAAGAAAGAGCTGTACCTTAAGGGTGGTGGCGCCCCCTGCCGCTGACTCCTTGTCCTGAAAGCACTGTCCTAGCTTAAGCTGCTGCACTGGGTTATGCATATCGCCATTTCATCTTGCAGCAAGGACTGAGGTTCAGAGAGAAGCGACTTGCTCAAGGTCACACAGCCAGTGAGTGTGCTGGAGTCGGGGGTGGTCAGAACACCACGCTGCTCCCCTGCCTCCCCCATCCAGGACAGCCAGACTCTGGCACGCAGGATCAGGCCCGGGGAAGGCAGGAGGGGCCGATTACCTGGGCGTGGGGCTGCTGTCACTGCCCTTGTAGGAGCCCGAGTTGCTGCTGCTACTGAGAGAAGAGGTACCGTAGGCATCCCGCACACTCACAGGTGGAGAGGTGCGCCTGGAGGCGGGAAGAATAGGCAGGTGCTCGTTCTGGCTGGTGGGCAGCTGCGGACACTGGGCGAACACTGCCAGGCCGCTGCGGCCCAAAGTGCCCCCGCTTCGGGGTCACCGCCGGGGAGAGAAGCAGGGAGAAAGGGGGAGGCACAGACAGGGGTGACAGAACAGACAGTGCAAATGAAGATGGAAAACCCGAAGGAGGCTGGTCCTCCTGGCTCCCCAGGGACACGGACGGAGGCCGGGCAGGGCTGCAGGCCAAGGGTGGGGCCTCATCTGCTCTTCCCAAGGCTCCTCAACCTCCAGAGTCTCCCAAACCCAGGGGAGGAGAGCCCAGTTAGTGTTTTCCCAGTTCAGTGCCAGGAGACGGAGGCAGAGGTGGAGAAGAATGGGGCCGACAGGAGGGGGGACAGGAGGAGGGACCTAGGGGGACGTGGTGAAAAGCTAAGGGAGACTAGGTGAACCTGAGTGGATGACAGCCCGGCCTCCCACCAGTAGCTGCAAAAATCAAGCAACACTGATGGGGCTGGTACTGGTAGGAATCCAGCAGCTTAAGCCTCTTCAGATCATTTTCAAATCCATTGTGTCACTGGAGCCCTTAACTAGCTCCAGGGGAAGGTAAGTGTTAATGGGCCTGTTTTTTAAGATTATTTTTATTTATGATTATTATTTGCTTTCACATTTAATAAATGCCCATTTTAAAGACGGGAAAACCGGAAAGGGAGGATGTGCTCTGAGAAACACTACAAGTCAGTGGCAGGTGGAGACCGGGGACTGCCCCCTCCTCCCGCCCTCTGCAGCCACGCTTCTGGGCGAAGGGGAAACTCACCTGCGGGATCCAGCAGAAGTCCGTCTGCTCCCCGGCAGGGACATGGCCATGAGGCTGCGGGTCCGGGTCAGGGGCGGGATGGGCGGTGTTCCCGGGGCTGAGGAGAGAGGACGGGTTGGGGGGGCCGCGGGAAGGGCCGGGCCGGGCCACGTCATCCTCTCGCTGGGGCCGCTGCCTGGCATGGCTTCTCCTCTCACCCTCTGGCAGGACGCCCCAGGACCGAGTGAGGGCCTGGCCGGCCACAGCTGCCTCCACCAGTGAATATATCGGGGCCAATGCTCAGGTTCCCACCACCCGAATTGAAATCACACTCGCCAGGGGTGGCTGGAAATCGTCAGTCCAACCCTGTGTCGTCCAGATGAGCAGAGGCCTTGCCTGGGGTGTCCTGGGAGCAGAGCCTCCTGACCAACCACCAGAATTGCAATCACAATCGCCAGAGCCTCAGGGGTGGCTGGAAATCAGCAGTCCAACCCTGTGTTGTCCAGATGAGCGGAGGCCTTGCCTAGGGTGTTCCAGGCTTCAGGAGCAGGGCCTACTCTACAAGCCAGCCTGCTTCTTCCCCAGGTCCCTGATTCTCAGGCCCCACCCCCCTGCTGTTCAGGCCTCCCTCTGTGGTGGGGGCTGCAGCTGGAGGACTCCTGGAGCAGGACCAGGAACCCCAAGTTAGGATGGGCTAGTCTCGCCGAACATCACCTTCCCCGTTGGCACGCAGTTCAGGGCTTCCCGTCTACAGGGGAGACAAGACAGACCAACATACCAGCACATGTGTAGAAAGGCATACGGATACACACGAACACGGAAAGGCACCATGCCCCTGCCATTCCAAGATGAGCCCCACGTGTCTCCAAGAACATGCTCAGACAGCCTGGCCACAATGCAGGACATGCAGCCGGGCCCGCCCACACGCCTCCGTGCAAATGCACATGCTGATTTCGGCATATACCAGGAACTCAGGGCACAGGTTCAGAGCAGATGAGGACTGGGGTGGAGGGGCAGAAGCCTTCCCTGGGGTGCCCCATGGGTGGGCCCAGTAGGAAATGTTTGTGCCTGGAGAGACCCCTCGTGGTCTTCTTGCTAAGTGGGAGGTGACTGCAGGAGTCCTTGGCCTCTTCCCTGGGCTCTAAGAGTAGCCCTTCCAGGGTTTAAGGAAGGGAGAGGCCTCATGCTGGGCTGGATTTTGGCTGCTGTGGAAGGAGGGCTACACTGGGCATCAGCCCAGAGCTCCTGGAGTCCGAGGTAGGGGGGCTTGGGCTCTTTGCAGTTGACATGCTGGTCCGGTGCCAGCTCCTGAGACCCCAGGCCCCTCCTTCCATGCTCATAGTAGGCACTGAGGATGGCAGCCTGGCTGACAGGAGACTTAGTTAGCGGAGGACATCATGCCTGCACCTCCCCCATGCCGGAGAAAAGCGCTCTGACCGAACCCACTCCACGCCAGACCCCATGCCAAGCACGTTACGTACATTACGCCATCGACTCCTCCCAACAACCCTATGAGGAAGTGCTGTGATTAGTCCCCTTTTACAGATGAGGCATCTGAGCTAGAGAGGGAAGGGACTCGGTCAGTCACACCCCAGGTGTGCGGCACGGCCAACTTCTGAACCAGGTCGATATCTGATGCTGGGGGGTTGGTTCTTAAACCTGGAGTCCCCGGCCCAAGGACCACCCTCTTCCTGCATCAGGCCTCCCAGCAGCCTGGTCATCCTGGTCAGTGACGGGGTTGCCTCCTGAGTGGACAAAGGCACCACTCAGATGGCCTGTTTCCTGGCTGTGACACAAAACACGGCCTGTTCCCCTGGAGGGCCTGGACACAGCCAGCATTGTCTGTCCAGAGGTGTCAGGTGCTGGGCTGCAGGAGCCACTGACACCACGCCCGTCACCTGAGCTGCTTGCCCCAGCTTGGCAATGCCTCCCATCCATCATGCCCTGCTCACCCAGGCAGGGCCTCCTGGAACCGCAGGGCTGGCCCTCAGAGCAGGAAACATGGGGTGGGGTGGGGTAGGGGGGCAACAGAGCTCCACACTGGTCAGGATGGCCACAGGTAGCTTACTGTCCTGGGCACAGGAGGACACTGACCTGGAGCACAGAGATAGAGTGGGCAAGGGCTTCAAGGTCACCTGGCACTGACTGAACCCTTCTGTGGTAAGGTGACCATGCTGAGTGCTCTTACGTGCCATGGCCCACGACTTCAAACAGCTATCCTTCTGGGCAGGCTTTGCTGTCACATTTGGGCCCAAGGTTGCACAGCTGTAGGTGACCGGCTCTGGCTTCTAGCCCAAGTCAGCCTGGCTTCACTGGCCACTCTCCCATCATTACCTCCTCCCTTCAGGCTTTTGGGAGGAGGCAAAGAGGAGACTGTGGCCTCAGGAGGACTTCTCAGCAGAGGCAGGGCTCATACCCAGGGACAGATCCTCTCTCTTCCGAGCCAGCATGGGCAAGAGTTGCTAAGCAGCCAGGGAAGTGCAGTGGAATGCCAGGCCTAGGTCCTGGGAGGCAGCCGAGACGCGTGTGGCCCTGGTACAATGAGGGCTTTGTCCCGCCTGCCCCTGCTACTACCTGGCTTGGCAGGCCCATGCCTTCCCCCTCCTCCTGAGTTCCCTCTTCCTTCCTCCCTGGCCTGGGGGAGGGAGGGCACATTTGTCCCTGGGTGCAGCTAACAGTCCCTGGGGAGGCCAGAACCAGCTATTCATTGGGGACAGAGGTGGAAGTGGCATTTCCCCTGCTGGGAGGGAGCTCGCAGGTGGGGTCCCTTGTGGGAGGGCAGAAGCCACCCAGACCCAAAGGGAGCTACCTCTCCAGGGTCCTGCTCACAGGCCTCGGTGTGCACCAGTGCTCTCTGGCGTACCTTCCCTGGAGGCCCCAGAGAGGAGGCAGGTTGCCATGGTGTTTGTCACCATGCCACCTGCTCAGCCTGGAGTCCCACGGGCCTGTCCCCAGGTGGCCAGAAGCTGCCACTTGGAATGGAAGGTGGAAAGGAAACCCTCATCCATGGGAGCTGGGCTGGCAGACTCTTTCACCCCAATCCAGAGCAGAGCCAGCCTCCTTACCCAGCCTCCCTCCACTTCCGCATCCTGGCCCCACCACAGCCACCCTGTTGGCTCCATCCCTCGGTCCCTCACAACTCCACATTTCCTGAGGGCTGACGAAGGGGTCCAGGGAGCTGGAGACCAAAGGATGCAGAGATCGAGCCAACACCCCAGCTCTGTCGCCCTGCAGCTGCGTGCCTTGAGTAAGTCACACCACTCCTCCGAGCCTTAGTGTCTTCCTCTGTGAGGCTAGGGTGGAATGTCTCATATGGCTACTGGGAGAATAACCTGAAATAATGTGAGTATGGGGCTCAGGTCAGTGCCTCCCACACAATAAACACTCAAAGATGGGGATGGCCAGTATTTTGGAAGTAACGTGATGTGAGCTTCAAAACAGAAATGCATTCAAGGCTTAACGGCAGCCTTAGAGGGATCAGGAAAGCTTCTCAAAACAATACATCTGCACTGGGTCTTGAAGAATGAGTAGGAGTTCAGAAGGCAGAGGAAGTAAGTAGGAAGGAAGGAGATGTCTGGACACAGGCAGTGAGTAATTCAACATCATGGCTGCTCAAGAAATTAGGAGACCTGGTAAGCGCAGAGGCACCATAAGGGTGACGCTACAGGGGTGAGGGGGAAGGACACACAGGGCTGCTTAAACCAGGCTTGTGTCATGTGGTGACAGGGAAACCAGGGCAGTGCTTTATAGGGAGGTCAGGATCAGATTTGCATTTGAGAAAGCACTGGGTAGGGAGCATGTGTGAGGATAGCTACAAAGGGTCGAGACCAGTAGGAGGATACTAAAAACTGCTAGGGGGGAAACTAGGAGGGCCTGGCTCAGGGCCACAGCAGGAACAGTAGAGAAGGGAGCCTGGGTCCTGCTCAGAATTCCTTGGAGGGCATCAATTAAGTACAAATCAGGGAAAACCCCTTGTCCTGGTGTTCAAGGCTCTCTCATCTGCATCCTTTCCAAGTGGCTCTCTGATGACCCCTGGGAGACCCCCTGCTTGTCACTCCAGTCCCACAGCTGTGCACCTGTGGTTCCTTTCCTGCCTGTCCTCATGCCCCTGTCACACTCTCTCTGCAAGCTCTGCCCACAGCCCTTCCCCAGGGACACTCCATCTCTTGACCACTTAGCATGCTGTGCCTTGGACTAAAATGCAACACCACCCCCTGGGGAATTTCACATACACACAAATACAACCAACACAATGATTTAAGCAGGTACATCTGATAGACCACGGAGTCAGACGAGATGGTCTCTAAGGTGCTTCTGGATCTAACAGTCTCTGATACTAGGGCTGTTAATAAAATGATGGACCTCTGATCGATGCTTTCTGCTCCGTCAATGACTAGGACTCCTGGGTCTCAGTTTCCATGTTTGTAAAATTAGAAAGCAGCATTCTTCAAAGAGACACGGCAGCCTTTTACTCAATCAGCAAGTCATGAGGGAGAAACCAGATACCTGGGTTAATCTAATATTCTAGCTAAGCAAAAGTCCCTGTTTGTACTATAAATTATCTTTTTTCAAAGAATTAGCCATCAATAAAAGAAGAAAGCTATCCTGAAATCCAGGGGAACAGAACAATCTGTGTCTGATGACTCAAGCTACCGACAGCTGTGGAAGGCAGAGCATTGCAACCAACAGAACAGATCTTGGGAGGGATCTTCTCTCTGCCAAGGCAACGGTAGAATGCAGAACATTCTACCCATCAGGCGCAGAGTGCCTGTCGCTCCTAGAATGCTAATGCAGAGAGAAGTGGGCATGGAGGGTGCCCAGGAGTGTCACACTGGATCCCAGAGGGTTAATGCAACCAGGGCTACTCACAGCTGAGGGGCTCAGCAAACCCTTGGTCCCCTCAGCCACTAGGCCCCTCTGCTCTGCCTTCATTAGCAAAACTCAGGACCTTCCTTCCTAGACCTGGAAGGAGAGGCAGTGGTGGCATTTTTCCAGCTCACTTCCTGTGTCCTGTACAAGCCACCCTCAATGCTGGACCCCTAGAAGGGGAGCCACTGGACTTCTCTCAGTGGCGACCCCAACACAGCAGCAGGGCAGGCCTGCCATTTGGCCAAAGGCCACCAGGGCTTCTCCCAGGCAACCCAGGATGAGAATGAGGGTGGAGGCAGCCTCTGCACAGGACGTGTCTCCAGTGATCAGACCT